GGGAACCATTCAAATCGTCCTACATGACCTCCTCCAGTGATAAGCAGCATTTGTGAAACAGCAGCCCAGGGGTCAGGGTAAAATCTGCAGAAATGGAACTGGGCCAAAATACAGACTCAGAGGAACAGTAAATTTGTATCCCTGACCTCATTAGCAGCAAATTGTAACCAATTGCTAATTACCTTATGGCTATATCACAAACTGTATATGCGTGTATGTAAATTGTGTATGTAAATTCTACATGTGTTTGGAACCTAAAATATGCAAGACTCTAACACGATGATTGGACTTAGGGAGAGGAGATACCAGATAAACTGTCACCATTTAATGGAAAAAGAAGGTTAAATCTTGAAGTAGTAACCAACTTGCTGGTAGAAAATACACTAAATTTTATTAAATATATTGACTTAGGCACCTTAATTTAGTTTGTTTTCTCTTGTATACTGAGGAGAAGATAATTTAGTCAGAATCCAAGTTAAAAAAAAAAGCTAACTAATAGACATGAATAAATAATCTTATTAAATCCCATTGGTTCCATGTGTTATAAACATAGCCGAAAGGGTTAATTATAGCAAATCAAAGACTGGCACTTATAATCTCTGTAGCTGAAGTTTGAGGGGTGATTCCAAGATGGCAAAGACATGGCTTCCTCTTCTCCGGAGCACATTTCCATTACTTCAGCACATGCCTTTGTACCTGGCACAAGTATATACAAAGGAAAATGAGAAGACAATCCAAGGTGTAAATCTGCCAGGTGAGAATTATGGTTTAAAGAAAAAGATAAGATCATCAACCTCTACTATACAGTGAGTGTCTGTATGTGCCTGGCGAAGAGCCAGCATCCGGGGAGAGGGATGAACTAGACAGACTTCATCACTGGCCTACTTGAATTTGCATTTCACTGATGGGAAAGAAAAGAGACAAAAAAAGAAAGAAGAAAGAAAAGAAAAAAGAAAAGAAAAGAAAAGAAAAGAAAAGAAAAGAAAAGAAAAGAGAAAAGAAAAGAAAAGAAAAGAAAAGAAAAGAAAAGAAAAGAAAAGAAAAGAAAAGAAAAGAAAAGAAAAAGAAGAAATGGTATAGGAAGTGCCAAGCAGGAGACAAATGGAGTGCTACAATCCAGCATCAGGCACGTCTGGCTATCTCAGGGGACTTGGGAAGGCTTTCCTTAGATGGAAATATTCAATTTAGAACCAGAATTATGAAAAATGGGGTGACGAACTCTACGAAGTATCTTCACTGTGAATTTTGTTGCTTATTCTAATTATGTTCGGTTATGAAAGTGGGAGGGGAAAAAAGGCCAGAGGGAATCATAATGGGCAAGACCGAATGACAGCATCACAGGGCCCAAAATGCTGCTGTCATTCATGCCAAGTTCTCTTTTTCTACCTCAAGCATCAGTGCAAAGCTGCCATTTGTTCGTAATTAGTGACCACAGGAACAAGGCAATTTTTTGTCCCTGTTTTCAAGCCACTTCTGGAGGAAACAAACATCACTAATAATAAAGCTATATTTGGGGCCCCTGGGTGGCTTAGTCGGTTAAGCGTCCGACTTTCGCTTAGGTCGTGATCTCGCGGTTCGTGAGTTCGAGCCCCGCGTTGGGCTCTGTGCTGACTGCCAGCTCAGAGCCTGGAGCCTGTTTCAGAGTCTGTCACTCCCTCTCTCCCTGACCCTCCCCTGCTCACGCTGTCTCTCTCTCTCTCCTAGAAATAAAAAAAATAAATAAATAAAAAAATTTAAAAAAAGCTATATTTATCAAGCAATGGCTGTGATATGTTGGTTACATATAATACTGCGTTTAATCCTCACAACAATCATAGAAGATCAGGGTTACCATCCACATTTTACAGCTGAGTACACGAAGGTAGAATCAAAATAACTTGTCCAAAATTACTGTGGGGGTTGTTAGGCTTGCACTCCGGATCACAGTTGGACCTTTGAGACTGTGATTTTCAACTATTATGTGTGAAAGGAAAATTAAGTCAAGAATTGAAATGATCATCTTCTCTGGCTCCTTGTATTCATCTGACTGCACTGAATTTTGTATTCAATTATTTAAGTGCAGTGTACAAATAACTTCGGCTTCTCTGGTGACGTTATTTTATAAAAGCCAATGATACTTGAAATGGTTGGTGGAGGGCACCTGAGTGGCTCAGTCTGTTAAGTATCCAACTTCAGCTCAGGTCATCATTTCACAGTTTGTGAGTTTGAGTCCCACATCAGGGCATCAGGCTCTCTGCTGCCAACACAGAGCCTGCTTCAGATCCTCTGTCTCCCTCTCTCTCTGTCCCTACCCAGCTCATGCTCTGTCTGTCTGTCTCTCTCAAAAATAAACAAACATTAAAAAAAAAAAAATAGCGTGACCTCTTCAAAGTTCACTGAAATGCCCAAGTCACTCAGCTGCAATAATGTCTTCTTCAAATGACAACTACCTTTTCTGTAATCCATCTCTTACCTTTAAAGAATTCTGTCTTTCATCAAGATGTGTGACTTGCAGCTGCAGTTTTGACTTGATCCAGCATCTTGCTTAAAAGATGAAGACCGGATCATGGAACCTTTACTCTAATTAGTATTTCTTTTTTTTTTTTTTTTTTAAATTTTTTTAAATGTTTTATTTATTTCTAGGAGAGAGAGACAGCGTGAGCAGGGGAGGGTCAGAGAGAGAGGGAGACACAGACTCTGAAATTGGCGGCTCTGAGCTGGCTGTCAGCACAGGGCCCGACGCGGGGCTCGAACCCACGAACCGCGAGATCATGACCTAAGCGAAAGTCGGACGCTTAACCGACTAAGCCACCCAGGCGCCCCTCTAATTAGTATTTCAATCATGCTTCCAAACAGCTTTTTACTTCCTGTAGTTAAATTTGCCTTTAATTTTTCTAAATGTTCATTTATTTTGAGGGAGAGGGGGAGAAAGAGAGAGAGAGTCAGTGGGGTGGAGTGAGAGAGAGAGAGAGAGAGAGAAAGAGAAAGGAGGAGGAGGAGGAGGAGGAGGAGGAGAGGAGAGTTGGGGTGGGGGGAGAGGGGGAGAGAATTCCAAGCAGACTATGTGTTATCAACATGGAGCATGACCTGGGACTTGATCTAAGGAACTGTGAGATCATGACCTGAGCCAAAATCAAGAGTCAGAAGCTCAAATGACTGAGCCACCCAGGCGCCTCGGGATATGCCAAATGGTTTACTTAGGATTTCTGTTTAAACAGAAAACATTCATGAATATAAAAATCAAACAGTGATTGATAAAAAAAAAAAAGACGGTATATTTCCTGCAATATTTTATATTTAATTTCATTATCTACTACCAATGAAATTATAAATTAATCTACATACTCAGAAGTTTATGGTTTTTTTTCCTGTTACCAAAACTACATATAATTATCCATAATAGGAATCAGCTTATCCATTGTTATGCCCACCTTAAAATGGGTATCTCAATCCAATTCAAACTTATAGACAAATTAGAAAGGTCTGAGTAACGTCTTTGGGTCTACTAAAGTCAGAGAGACAAGCCATTCTTAAGACAAACATTATTTCTTTTCTTTCTTTTAAACATATCAGGTAAGGATTTTCCATTGAGCAGATTTCTCTAGTCACTGCCATGTCCTCAGTGATATATAATGTTAGGAAAGTAGAGATGATACCTGTTGGGTTCCTTTAAGAATTCTTAGTTCTTGACACATGGGATATTTAAAGGTCTGCATAGCTCACATTTGGTTTTTTAATGGTCCACTTTTCATGGTATTTTCATAGCAGTGAATTGCATTACATTGTTAGGACCATATATTCTTGTTATAAGATCAGCCAGACTTTTCAATTAGTTTGGAAAAGTTAACTTATGATTTCCACACAGACACTTCAGTGCAGTTCACATCTACAGGTACAAAAGTACATCAATATGTCAGAAAATGTTCGACTCTTCACACTCCTAACAAACTTTGTGTGGCATAAGAAATAAGTCAACATTAACTCATTCATATCTTAGCTTTGACATCCTTTTAATACCCAGAGCTCACATTAAATGCCACCTCAGAGTGCTCGCTTTGGCAGCACATATACTAAATGCCACCCCAGAGTCCTTCCTAGTTCACTAATCCAATGTAATCCCTGTCATTGCTTCAGAACTTCATGCTTGATCAACAAAATGCTTGTCAGTGATACCTTTTGTTTAGTATGTATTCTCTTCTTCCCCCTCTAGTTCTTCACAAAGTTGGTAAGCCCCATAATGGCAGGGACAGATATTTCCCTAATGTATCCCCACTATCTAGCAAAGTACCAGAGGCATCATATGAACCCAATACATAGCCAAAAGTCTAACATAATAATACACAATAAATGCTTACGTCCCACTTAACTAAACACTGGTGATTAGCTCTCACTTAAGTGTCCTATGAAATAAATATAATAACATTTTCCTTCAACTGAAAGGCATGTATCTTCTTCTCATAAATGAAAATCACTGTGTCAAGTGAGAGATGTATTAATTATGTGAAATGAATGGTCCTGTAGTATGTGAGGAAGTATAAAACTAAAATCCAAAGAAAGAGTTTGAGTAGAGGTGGTTTGAAAACAATCAGAAGCCCAGATAGTGGGACTTAAACTGAGATCACTGGACAGAAAATAAAAATATTTTGTTTTCATTAGAGACGCTGATTCTCCATAGCATGTTCCATGAAATAGGTGAGAAGTAGCAAAGGCAGGATTTATATTAGGAGAAAGACAGGGGCGCTTGGGTGGCTCAATTCGTTGAGGATTCAGCTCCTGATTTTGGCTCAGGTCATGATCCCAAGTCGTGGGATAGAGCTTCATGGTATGCATAGAGACTGTTTGAGACTCTCAGTCTCTCTCTTTCTTTCCCCCTCTTCCCCACTCATGTGCTCACTTTAAAATAAAATAATATGAAATTTAAATTAATTTAGTTTAATTTTAAAAATTTAGAAAAATAGAGAAGATAGAGGTTGCTTCCTTCATGTTTTCCTCATTTCTATTGTAGTATGGAAGGATCCAAAGTGCTTGCTTTACCAGCACATATACTAAAAACTGGAATGATACAGAGAAGATAACTATGGCCCTTGTATAAGGATGACATACAAATTCATAAAGTCTTCCATATTTTTCAGTGGGATGACTTACTCAAAGGGCTAATGGTTAGCCAAGAATTCTATATGCAGTAAAACTTTCCTTTAAAAATTAAGGAGAAATTCATATATTTCCAGCTAAGCAAAAACTAAGAGAATTTGTCATCTAGCTTATCTGCCCTACAAGAAATATCAAAGTAAGTCCTTCAAGCTAAAATGAGAGGACACTAGATATTCACCCAAAATCTACACACACAAAAAATAAAGAGCACTAATAAACACAATATAAAAAATATTATATGTATTTTTGGTAATTCTCTTCTATAGGATTAGAAGACAATGGCAGGGGACACCTGGCTGGTTCAGTTTGGTAAAGCATGCAACTCTCCATCTCCGGGTCATAAGTTCAAGCCCCATATTTGGTATGGGGCCTACTTCAAAAAAATTGCAGAAAAATTAAAAAAAGATAATGGCATAAAGATGTAATTTGAATAACAATAAAAGCACAAAAGACAGAGGAGATAACAGGGATATATTAGAACAAAGTTTCTATATACCATTCAAGTAACTGAGGATGTCTATGAACTAGGTTGGTTTAGGTAAGATGCCAATGGTAAAGCAAGGGCAACCACTAAGAAAAAAAATTTTTTTTAATATAGAAAAAGAAACAAGGGATAAAAAATGATACACTAGAAAAATACTAATTTAAAATGAAAGACAATAGTAAAAGAGGAAGAGAAAAATAAAAAATATAAGAATATAGGAAAGATAGCAAAATAATAGATGTCAATTCTACATCAATAATTATATTAAATATAAAGGATTTAATACTCTAATTAAAAAGAAAGATTGCCAGGATAGTTTATATGAAATGACACAACTATTCAAAGATGTTTATAGGATGAAAGTAAAATAATGGAAAAAAATATGAATACTTAGAAAACATAACCAAATCTTGGGTGGCTATACTACCATTAGCCTAACTAGACCTAAAAAAATGTTACTAGGGATAACAAGGGACATTTTGTAATGACAAAAAGTCAGCCAGGAAGATATAACAAACATGAATTTACCTAAAAACATACCCCCCCCAAATACATAAGACAAAAACTGACAAAACTGAAGGGAGATATAGGCAATTCAACAGCAATAACTGAAGACCAATATCTCATTTTTAGTAATGGATAGAACAACTAAGCAGAAGATCAACAAGGAAATGGAAGACTTGGAGAGGTCTTGAATTTCTATGGACTTCTGTGGGAGGGTACAGGAATTTTTTAATATAAAAGCCACAGAGCCACTACACCAAAATGAAACAGAAGAGTTCTTGTCGCGCCTGGGTGGCTCAGTCGGTTAAGCATCTGACTTCAGCTCAGGTCATGATCTCATGGGTCGTGGGTTCGAGCCCCATGTTGGGCCCTGTGCTGACATCCAGCTCAGAGCCTGGAGCCTGCTTCGGATTCTGTGTCTCCCTCTCTCTCTGACCCTCCCCTGCTCACACTGTCTCTCTCTCAGAAATTTAAAAAAACAAAACAAAAAACCAAAAAAACATTAAAAAGAATTCTCCACAGAAACACCAGTGTGTGTGTGTGTGTGTGTATCTATGTCTATCTATATATAAATACACACATGCATGTGCATGTTATAGCAGACTTTTACTGAATGCTTATTATGTGTTGTAAGCACTTAATGGGTATCATGTGATTTAATCTCATAACAATCTACCCAGATAAATATCGCCACTGTCTCAATTTTACAGAGGAGGTTAGTGAGACACAAAAATGTTAAGCAGTTTGGCCACGTTCATATAATTAGCAAGTATGGGTCCTAGAACATAAACTTCAGCAGGCTACTCTCTTAGTTACTTTGCCAAACCATCAGTCAATTAAATAGGTATATTATGCAAATAAGGGATAAACACAGTTCCAGGCACAGGTAAATGAACCTAGTAAAGGGCTATCACAGATTAGACTGGTATGATGCTTCCGTTACATGGCATAATGTCATTAGTAGCAAATTTACTAAATAACAACTACTGAAGGCTGTATCTCACTTGGGGTTCTTTTAAGGAATTACCTCACATGATTCTGGAGACTTGTTAAATCCAGAATGTGCAGGGTAAGGGTGCCTGGGTGGCTCAGTTGGTTTAGTGTCCAACTTTGGATGATCTTGTGGTTCGTGGGTTTGAGTCCCACATTGGGCTCTGTGCTGTCAGCATGCAGCCTGGAGCCTGCTTCAGATTATGTGTCTCCTCTCTCTCTGACCCTCCCCTGCTCACACTGTCTCTCTCTCAGAAATAAAAAAGATTTTAAAAACATAAAAAAAAGAATTCTCCACAGAAACATCAGGGTGTGTGTGTTGTGTAAGTATATCCATCTGTATAAAAATACACACATGCATGTGTATGTGTGTGTGTGCACGCGCACACACACACACACACACAGGTTTCTTTTAAGGAATTACCTCACATGATTGTGGACTGCAGCATGCTTCAGATTACATGTTTCCCTCTCTCTCTGCCTCCCTTCCCCCACTTGTGCATGCTCGCTTTCTCTCTCTCTTTCTCACTTCCTCAAAAATAAACAAACATTAATCTTTTAAAAAATATCCTCCCTCTCTCTCCTGTTCGCTTATTCCCTCTCTCTAAAAACAAAAACAAGTAAAAAAAAAATCTTCAGGGTAGACTAGCAGACTGGATGATCAGTGAAGAATGAAAATTTGATTCCAAAAGCTTCTGGAATACTTTTTCTTCCTTTGGAGAGGTCAGACTGTTTTTATTAGGGCCTTCAATTGATAGGATGAGGCTCACCCACATCATACAGAGTGATCTGCTATACTCAAAGTTCAGTGATATAAAGGTTAATCTCATTGAAAAATGTTATAGCATTTTAATGATATATAAATTATTTTATAGGTCCTCAGTTTGCTCTTTTTTTAAATGTTTTTATTAATTTGTGTGTGTGAGAGAGAGAGACAACGTGAGCAGGGGAGGGTCAGAGAGAGAGGGAGACACAGAATCTGAAGCAGGCTCCAGGCTCTGAGCTAGCTGTCGGCACAGAGCCTGACACGGGGCTCGAACCCACTAACCGTGAGATCATGACCTAAGCCAAAGTCAGATGCTTAACCAACTGAGCCACCTTGGCGCCCCTGCTCTTAATAATAAAATGATTTGCCACAAATTGTTTTCATTCTTTAAAAGGAATGATTCTCAATTTTCTTGACATATTTTGTTGAAAAATGGTTTAGATACCAGCCATGTCAAAAATGAAAAGGTATTTATTTCAACTACCTGCAAAATCTCTCATTCTTTTAGGTTCAAATTTTCATCACTGTTACTAGCTTTAAGATAAATACTCTAGTTTACCTGTAACATTTTTAAATGTGTGTTTTCTTTTTACATTTCATTTTGACCCTGACTTGGCGAAGATGTGCCTTGGGATGCAGACAATATCAGTAAAGCCCTCTTTTTCTTTCTTTCTTTCTTTCTTTCTTTCTTTCTTTCTTTCTTTCTTTCTTTCTTTCTTTCTTTCTTTTTTGGTTTTCTTTTTGTCTAGTAGAAACCTGATTTTATTCCCACATAACCATAATCAGCACTTAAAAGAAACTAGACAATGTGGAAAAAATCTATATTTTCATGCAATGGTGTTATACTCAGTAGGAAAAAAAAAATGCTTGCCAAGTAAAGGCATTAACACATTTTCAAGGGACTTTTCAAGTGCATTTTTTTCCCTTGGCTCAGCATTTCATTTTTACAGCATCTATTAATCATGTCTAAGCAGGCTTTAAATCCCCAATCCCTACTTCAGATTATTTCACAATTGCTGTCTTCGTCTCTCTTTGTCTCCAGCACCATCTTCCCCAGATTCCATTGTTTTAGTTCAGCTCTTTGCTCTGCACTTTCAATCATCCCAAATCCACCATCCTTTGAGAACAGCAGCCATCAATTTCTAAGGCCATACAACAAGGACTAATGTTTATACTTTCAAAGGGAATTCACTGAATAATAAAGACCATTTAAGAAATGCCAGGAAAAATTGATTACTCCAGAATACAGAGCAAGCAGTACGGATTGGAGAAGAACAACGCCATTTAGTTCTGAGCATTGGTAGAGAGAAAAAAAGAAAAGAAATGACTAAATTCATCCTTGTTCTTACTGTATTTGGATATTAAAACTCACAGAAACTAAGAAGAATTTAACTTAATCAATAAGAGCCAACAGCTATACATTTTAAGAAGTTAAAGATTTGTAGGAAGACAAAAAATATTATAGTAATACACAGAACCAGATACTTTCTCCATAGAAAAATAACTTGATCAAAATAATTATACTGTTTCAGTGAGGTGGAAGGGCACAGATAAGTGGTTAGCTATTTTCTTCTGTGTCTGTATCTTTAAAAGTAACTGATAAATTGCTAAGGGTCTAAAGGCTAAATACCATTAATCTATTTTTCTCAGATACTTGTCATAACTCTAAATGTTGTTATTCTATAGGTCCATTTTATACATGACTCCATAATAATATTAAGATCTGGACATGAGAAATACAGAAACAAATCAGAGGAATCTCAAGTTGCTTGAAACCATTTGAAAGCTAGAGGCAAACTCATATCTGAAACCTAAGCTTCCTGGATTTTTCTTCTATAACAAGATTCAAAATATGTCACTTCTTGCTTTGTTCTAGTTCCTGAGTAAAACAGTACTCCTGTCTGAAATTTTCAGACTGCCATTCAGAACTTCATAAAATATCACCTTTATTGAATAACTGTGTGTATACGTCTATGAGGAAATGGTTCTGTTCATTAGGGCCAGTATCCCAAATCTATCATTATGCTTCTTGAAAGTGACAGTAAATGGCTTTCGAATACAATGTCTTCTTATCCTTTTTGTGGATGTTATATAAAAGCAGCAAATCAAAGAGGAAAACAGGTTAATTTTATGCCAATCACAAAACCTGGTGACAGGTGTCGCCATGTGTTGCGACAAGATCTCTTGGCCATGGGTCATTGCTTTGAAAGGAACTAACGAATGGCTTGCAGAAC